TTCTCTACCTTCCTGACCACTTTGCCTCTTTAGAAGTGCCCTTTTCCAAGAGCAAAAAGGCTTGTAAGGGAAAATGAAGTGCAGGCGCTTTTTCTGTAGATCGAGGTAACAACATTTACGCCGCAGCAGTCGCTTCTAGTTGTACTTTGCCGTAGCATTCGCTTTTTTGTCTTGGTGCTATTAAAAGGTACTCGAAGAAGGAGAGTTCATCGAAACTTTGGGAATGAGCCTCCTCCCTCACTGGATGGAAGGTTTTTTCTAAAAAGGGAGCGGATATTTTCAGAAAAATAACGGAAATGAGGTGGGAAGTGAGGGATTTGGGACTGAAGAATATGTTGACTAGGATTGAGGATGAGGGAGCGTAGAATGGGGTCGCAAATGATTGAGGAAGAGGTCGTATTTTGCAGAATTTTTTTTCGACGGCATGCTGCGCCGCGGTCATCATTCCATATCACGCAGACGATTACGGGGTCAAATCATGGATGAACTAGGCAAACCTAATCTAGAAATAACTAGGACATGTCTCAGAATTTCCGTAGACTTTATAAAGCTGCGTTCATACTTTGCAGCAGCGTCCATCGCGTATACCCACCTGCACCACTAGCGTTCCGAGCGTCCGGCAGCGTCAGCGACTAGGAAAGTATAGATATCGATTTAGCATTTGCGAGCATCGAGGGCTAGGGAAGTATAGGTATCCACGCCTACCAGCGTCAACCAGCATTCACCGGCGACCAGGAGTAAAGAGTATGGGTAAGTAAGATGGTAGGAAACAGCTGGCTTAGGCGTAGTGAAACTAGGGCGTGTGCAACTGTACATGAAATTGTATAATTCTGTGATTTAGCAGTTATGCGGTGCGGTGGCACACGCCGCAACTCCACGACGCCCAATCCAGCTGTCTGCTTCCCCTTTTTCTCTACTCCCGGTCGCCTGTGGACGCTGGTCTCACTGGTAGGGTAGCTTGTATACGCTATGACTTCCATAGCCCCTCGAGACGGGACCGGCAGACGCCTGGCAGTGCCTGTTCATACCTATACTTTCCTGGTCATTGACGCTGCTGGACGCTCGGAACGCTAGTGGTCGCTGGTAAGCGCTTGTGGACGCTGGCCTAACGGAAACTTGGTCTGATAGAAGTTGAGATGTTCTGATTGAATTGGGAATCAAATTGTTACCGGCAGCAACCTTCAAACGAGTTATATCGCCTTGCCAGCACCTCGCAAAGCGAGTTATATCCCATATCCCGAACGTGGGGAGGGCATCAATAAGGTACGCAGGCACGCCCCCTTCCCCCGTCCTCTATCTACGGGATTTCGGGTGTATGAAAGATATGCGTGCATGAAGACTCAAGCATTTCGCAGGGAAGTTTGACTTCCTGAACACGACTGTCATATTTGTCTGGAGTGCTGCGCATGGTGCTCAGCCACAGCACTAGGGAACAAATTTTGAAAAGTGTGGCTAGCTTGACCACTTATAACTTACTTGGGTGATTACATAGCAATTTTGGTACCCATACTTGTATCCTGCGTTCCAGGCTTTTGGGGAGATGTGCCCCCCACCCTCAGAAGTGTTTGAGGGACCGGAATCGTTTCCTGGTGTGTAACCACCTCTCCATAGTCCGTTACTTTACTGTAGACCCGCTTCGCAGGTAGGAAACACGGATCTGTTTAAAGGCACGTCCTGCTGTGGAAAAACTTTTTGCAGGATACGATCCCTTTTTCAAAATTTCCTCTTGTGGTGCACTCCCTTCCTCAATCAATCCTATGCACTATTTCCCCTTCCTCGAATTCTCTCACGTTCCTCTCAGTGTTCCGAGTTCTTTCCACGCTCTGTCAGTTAATCAAATGGCTCTGAAAATCGCTTCCAGCGCTTTTATTTTTAGTGGAGTAGATTGCGTAGCGCATAGCAGAGTGGAACTGATCAGCAGCAAACTTTTTTTTACTTCTTCCAAACCACCCATGTTCCCTTAGCCTAGAGTTACTTCCCGTTCTAACTTTTCTATTCTGCAGACAGAACTACAATTCCATTGAGTAATAGGTTGCCTTGAGTGCAACCTTCAAAGCTAAAAGCCGCTCTTTTTGAGGTAAAGAACTTAGAGCCCTCGAAGGTCGTCCATTGTAAGTTGAGGACAACCCTCTTGAGAGTGAAAGGTCACTGAAAAGGGAAATTATCTCGGGCAAAAGGCCGTTATTCAGTTTTTTGTGAAATGCTTATGAAAACACGCCCCAATTTGAATGACATTTTCTAAACATGTCTTGTTATGATATAATAAATGCTATTTATTGCGCTCCGAAAGGAAATCCCTGCAAACTATAAAGCGTGTGACGCGGCGTGGATCGGAGCGCAGCTAAGGCTGCCATTTTCCACCAATGAGGTCATCTTGAGTCCGCTACAATTGGTGGGAAATCCGCCTTGGCCGCCCCAAGCCGCACCCCGTCACATGCACTTTCATTTCTCCTATGATGATTAAAAGAAACCCTAGACGCTAGGCCACTCGATGTACAACAATTCAGTCTTGGATACGCCACGCATTTGGCTTCCGTTCGGAAACTAAACGGTTCTTGACTGCCTACATACAAAATTGTCCTTTGTCCTTAGTAATGCTAACGAGGGACCAACCAATCGAACTACGAGATATAACCTAGAAACTTTACATCCTTTCCCTGTGAATGAATAGAGAAACACTCCTTGAATATTATCACAAGAATGCTGAGTTATGGGCAAAAGTCGTGCCCCAGGCGGGAGTCGAACCCGCACCTCACGCTTTCCGGGCGAGTGCGCTATCCGTTACGCCACCAGGGCCGCTTTTACCCTCTCGTTAGATATCGGCAATGAACGATGCCTGCAGTACTTTTGCCCATAACTCAGCATTCTTGTGATAACATTCGGAACGCGTACTGCGGCGTTAAACAGCAGTTATCATAACAAAACAGCTTCAAAAACTTCTTGAATAATTATACGACCTTATGCACAAATAAAAACATCAATAAAGCTCCGAAATAATCCGTTGCAGAAGGCGAGGTGGATCTCAATATGTTTGACTCTACCACTGAAGAGTCGAACTATGTAAAGGAAACAGAAGCTGTGCTCAAAAACGTTCTCAAAATCGATGCTTCCAAGGACAAGAAATCGATATCGGCCACCATGTCCGAGGTAAGTCCCATAATCTCCCTCACAAAATTTTACCCATGTAATCCTTTCACCCAAAATCCATTAGACATTAATCATTAATCCCTTAGTCAAAGATCCATACGCTTCAAGTCGAATTCATTTCCTACGGAATGCGAAGATTCTCGAGGGAGTTTCAAAATGTGACGGCTGAGAAATCGTCGCTCAATGGCAGGCAGCGCTTTGATGGTGTTCCTTGACCCGTCACGTTTCTATCTCGAGAAGCTCTTCAGCTAATGAATAGTGAGAAAGGCATGGAATTCTCTTGCAAAGTCCTGACGCTCAAGAAGAAAGGTGTTAAGCCTACAGTTTTCCAGAAGTCACCTTGAAGGCAAGCTGTGTACTCACCTAAGTGGTTTCAGGCCCTTGCCATGTGTGAGGTGAATGCGTCCGCAGCTGCTGTAGCAGACCACTTTCATAGGTCGCAAATGTACAGGGACAAGCTGGGGGGGGGGTGACAAGGGTGTCGCTCCATACGGCTGTTGCAACGGCAAGCCACAGCCTAACTGTAACCGACCGCCTCTGCCACTTCGGGTTGTTCTCTACCGCTCAGTTCGTGTTTCGCTGCGTGCCGCACATTGACGATGACAAGGGCGGAATACGCAGGCAGCACCCGGGACCATACTCCAGGCCCCGTTCCACATGCACCTTTGAGCCAAGAAAGTGGTACCCTACTAGTAGCTGGCACACCGCGCCATGGCAAGACCGCCCTTCGGAGATCAGTGTGTTTTGAATGCCTGAACCACCAATGTCTCAAGAGCACCAAGCCGAAGTATTGGCGCAGTTTGGCTCAATGGTGCTATTTGGCTGGTTCACGATTTGTCCTTTCCACTTGAGAAGTCGCTTCAGTGAAACTCAATCTACCAAATGCACATCACTCCATCTTTCATATCAATATCTGGACCAACGCTCATTTGGTTACTCGCTTTCCTTCCCGATGCCGGAATTACCGTATAAACAGAAGGGAAAGTGTACTCATTTTTTACGCGGAAGGTGGTTACGCAGAGGGGAGGGGGGATGAAAAACCCCAGGGTAAAAAAATTTCAAATTCGGGCGCAGTTTGGCGTGATGAGGGCACTAGATGGTGCTCAGCAAAGGTTGCACAGGTAAATTTGTGAAGTAATCAGTGAATGTCCTTAGCTGTCAGTGCTTTACTTTGTAACCACTTTCGAGCTCCACAGAAGACGACAGCTTCACCACAAAAGAGACCTTCCATTAATACGATCTATAAATATGAACTTAGCGAAAGTGCCAATGATGCCCCTCTCCATACCAGCGAAGTCGAGGTGCCCAAAGCGAAGTCGGGTGTGGAGCGCTACTTCCCAGTCGGTGCTCGCAGCACGAGTTGACTTGGGAGATAGAGTCGACGCGCACCGCCGTTGGTATGTTGAATGGGTTAGCTCCTGAGACAGAGGCCGCGTAAAACACTCCGTTTGCAGCGCCAATTTCGCTACGACTGGGATATAACGGTCCACACCGGTTAGCTCATTATTCAAACCACTAATGACCCAACAACGCCATGAAGTAGAGGCTATATCAAAAGGATAATGCTATACAGTTTCCGATTACCGATTAGAAATGCCTAGGCCTCCTAGCTTCCTTCCATGCCGAAGAGCAGCTCAAATTTCATGGAAAATTACCCAATTTGGAGGTTAACAATACCAATATTTCTTCTTTCTTCTAAGCCTATTTTTTGAAATATGCTGAATTTCAGATGAAACTGACGCCATCTGAAGACAAAAAGAAGAAAGGCAAAGGTGCTGATATGCTCGAAATGTTGGACGAAGCCGCCGCACGACCAGCAACGGGAACATCACGATCTCGCTCAAAAACTCGTACAGATCCTTCGTCAAAACCGCGGACACCAAGCGGAAAGCGACCACCATCAGCGAAGAAGAGCACCAAATGAGTCTGGTAGATGGCTATAGAGTGTCTGAGGGTATAGACTAGGCCAAGGGTAATACGTGTGAGCTATTGACATCGAGTAAAAGAAATCGAAGGTTGCAGCGCAGGAGTTCAGTATATGAGAAGCGGTCGATTTTCCCCTTTTGAAATTCGGCAGCAAATTATGACAGCTGGGGGACTTCAAGGGACCTTCTAAGGAATCGGTGCTTCATATAAACATTTCTAGGAATTTTTCCGATTTCCGAGTAGCGGCTAACCACATTAGAACGAGTTGAGGGGATCCCGATACTGGCCGACTTGAGTCCCTCAGGAGGTTAGCCTCATGCTGACGGTCCGACTTGAACGGATTCAAACTCACTTCGTGTTTCAGCTTGATTGTGTCCCTTGGCCCTCAGGAAAAGTGCCCTTCAAAGTTCGAGCTACTGACGGTGGCTGTGCCAGTTAGAATACTCAGGTGAATTTACAGTCAACGCGGACACCGGAAAGGCCTGGTGTGGTTTATTTACAGTACAGTCAGGCAAGAAGAACTGTTTGCAGATTTGCAAGTAACAGCTGATCTCGTTGACGGTTACGGTAGGCCGCCACAGTTCGAAAAATCGCTCTATGAGGTACAGATCGCCGAGGATAGCGAGATTGGCACTTGTTTGCTGAAGGTAACAGTTGTGATGGGTTTGATGCGTTACCGTACTTGTCATACTGTATTTACACTTGCACTGGCAGCTTCATGATACGCAGCTGACAGGTCTCATGGGTCTGTTTGCATACACTCCTGAGAAGATGTTTGCTTGGCCAAATGCCAGTGACAGACCTTGAAGGGTCAGATCGAGGGGCTAAATCAAGCTGCGAAGCGTAACAGCACTTTCGGGGGGGGGTCGGAGTGGGGGCGTCTCTGGACTAACTTAAACCTGCTATGCTCTGTCATATGTAGCCCCTTTGATAAGCTACTTCCCGAACAAAGCAAGACCACTTCTCATATGTAGAGAGTAGCCATCCAGGATGTGTCCGAACTCCGAAGATTTGTGGCATTTAATCAATATCTATTTATTGCACAGAAGTTTGAAATGTGGAGACGAAGTGGAAAGGCACACAAATAGCAATGGAAAAGCTTTGGCTATATAGATTAGAAGCTTTTATCACCTCAATAGACCCATTCTGCTGGTACTTAGCCGTGGTTATGTCTAGCCAATCTAGGAGTTTCCTACTTACTTTCTGAAATAATATCAAAAGAGCTTCAAACA